TTTGAGTCCCGTTTCTCTTTTTGGGGTTTTTTGTTGTTCTCCCGCCCTGGCGGGGGGTCGGGCTAGAAGATCTACTAGGTCCCTTCCGACCCTTAATCTATGAATCTATGAATCTATGAAAGAATAAAGTGAAAATATTCTATATCCACTCAAATGGATATACAGACTGATACTTTTTTCAGTTACAACGAAATGTATGGTGATTCTGGGAACTTATAAAAATCTGAATCTAATTAAGAATTAGATTCTCATTTAGAATGAGATTCTCTCTTTGTTCATATGATAACAAAATCATGCAAGCTTTTTATTTTTGGGTCTCAAGTTAAAGATTTTTGAAAAAAATATATAGCACCTACACACATGCTTCAACCTCAAGCATCTCACAAGCTTAGAATGTTACAAACAGTTATTTTGAAGATTTGGAAACAAACACCATATAACCGTCCAGGTAACAAACGGGCACCCTGCTTCCCTGCAGGCGTGTCTCCACATGCTATTATGGCACATTAACTCTAGAGCAATAAACTCAGCAGTTTATTCATGTGCAGTATGTGACGCTGAGTTGGAGCAGCCCCAGCTTGCAGGGAACTCTGGGGCTCAGCTTGCCAGCCTGGGACTGCTCCCCCTGGCTAAGTGTGCTAAGGACAGGCTGGCTGGAGCATGAAGGAGCTTCAGTGTGGGTCTAGCTGGCAGTCAGCCTCTGCACCAAAGCACCCTTGTGCCCCAGCCAGCTTCTCCAGCAGCTACACGTGCACTGCTGCAGAGATTTTTACTTCATAGCAGGATAGTACTTATATTTACAAGTGCCTGGATAGTATTTACAAGAACTATCCTGCTGTGGAATAAATTAGTTTCCTCCAGCCTAATAGGGGTACATGATGTAGATACCAAGGGCAATACATGTGCTCTGGGGTGGGGTGAGATGGGAGGGGGTTAATTAGAGCCACTCTCAGGAGCTGCTCTAATTAAAATTCCTGTAGTGTCGCATGTATTCAATGTCTCACATTTCAAAATGGCTGCTCATTAAATGAGCTTCAGTTAAAGTGCCCCCGCCACTATTCTGGGCTCCCCTGTGCTGCCATTTGGGGCTCCCTAATGTCCCAGCCAGCCCCTCTGCAGTACAATGTGCTGAGGGAGCAGCCCCGGGCTGGTAGGCTGACCCCAGGGTCCCCTGCAGGCTGGGGCTGCTTTAACCTGGCTACACATGCTGCACAGGAATACTCATGTATTCAGTAATACAGGTTTCCCTTGATTTATGCGGGTTCTTTATACGCAAATTTGCTATAATGCAATGAGCATATTTAGACCCATAATTTGTTATATGCAAGGTAAGTTTGCTCTTATGCGATCAACATAGATCCCACCCC